TACAACCAAGGGAAACAAGCTTCCCTAAACGTGTTTACAACACTAAGAACACTCAAGAACAAGACTCTCTTTAAGAGTAGATGTTGAGTAAACTATATACGCTCAAGAACAACTCAAACTTCACAAATTGGCTCTAGAAAGCTATGGAAAATAATGTTGTTTGGATGCAATGATAATATGAATAAAGTGAATTGAATTGATGTGTAAACCAGACCCAAACACCCCTTTTTATAGTGCCAAAATAGGCTCCAACGGGCCAATGCATTAAAGGGGTGATTGGCTTGATTTATGGGATTGAATAAATTTGGGATCTGCAGGATATTGGCTTCCCATCGATGTTTGGACTCACCCATCGCTGGTAAGCCAATTTCCCTTCAGTTTTGAAGCCAACGGTCACCTACCCATCGATGGGTACAAGCTTCCCATCGCTGGGTGGGAAGTTGACTTCTAAACAAGGAAAGAATCAGCCTTAAATGACTTCCAACGGTCATGCCTTCCCATCATTGGTTAAGCCTTCCCATCGCTGGGTTCCCATCGATGGGTAAAGCTTCCCATCGCTGGGTAAGGGCATTCTGCCTTGTGATAATGTTTGACCAAGGCTTGAACAACGATGGGTAGAGGTTCCCATCGCTGTTTGGCATGGTTCTGGAATTCAATTCGGCTGAAGGCTGCTTACCCATCGATGGGTAATATCTCCCATCGCTGGGTGAAATGATTATGGAATCCTTGGATCACTTTCCCATGCATGGGTGAAATCTACCATCGCTGGGTAGATGGCTAGTCAAGAACCATGGCTTAGCCGACCGGCACTGAAACCCGACCGAAAAATGCAAAGTTCTCCAAAGTAAAAACTAAGTGTTTAAAACACTTATTTAATGTATTTTGATGTCAAAATAAGCTTTGTATGTTGAAAACCACGTCGTTAAGGTAAAAACCACGGATGACCAAGTCAATGCCGTACACGGGTGGTTTTTACCAAAAGACAAAACCGAAAGGTGGTTTTGACCACTTGAACGACCAGGTCATTGTGGTGCCTTGGCCGGCTAGGCCCTGGTGCTTCTTCCTTCTTGACTTGCACCGGCTTGGGCTTGAAACCATGCTCAGCTTCTTTCTTCGCCCGGAGTTGGGTTTCAGCCTCAGCAAATTCTCACGCCGTGTGGTAGGCTTCTTGATACGTGGCCGGGGGTTTTCGGTAGAGCTCCTTGTATAGTTCCCCAGCACGTAAGCCGTTCAAGAGGAGAGACAAGATTGTCTTGTCATCCATCTCCTCAACCTTGTCCACCTCTTCCTTCCATCGGGTAAGGAATTGAGTGAGGTTCTCAGATTCCCTTTGGCCGACTGTACTAAGATATGTGAACTTCTTTCTCTTAGTACAATTTTCCTGGAACTTGGCCTTGAATTTCGAGGCCAAGTCGCTGAACAAATCAATGCTCCCCGGGTGAAGCTTATTGAACCATTCAGTAGCTCAGTTCCGCAAGGTTTGGAAGAAAAGGAGGCACTTTTCTTCGTTTGTGCAACCATTCATGGTTGCACTCTGATTGAAAGAATCCAGGTGGATTTCTGGATCCTCCTTTCCGGTAAACCTTGGTGCATCTATCTTGACCTTTCGCGGGAAAGGCATCAGATGGACTCTTGTGGTGAACGGGGACCCGACAAGGGGTTTGTCCTGGTCATTTTTCTCCCCAATTTTCTTCTCCAGCTTCTCCAGTTTCGCCTCCATCTGCTGGACACGATCACCCGGTATGGTTAGTCGATTAACCACTGGTCCGCAGGGTTGACTTTCTGCTTCTTCTTCTTGGCGGGAGGCCCTTGTCCTCGCAGGCTCTTGCCGGTTCGACCGGGAGCGCTGGGTACGGACAGGCTCGGCCTCCCTCCCCTAGCCTAACCAGGCGAATGCGCTGACATGGGCAACGCTCTGCCCCAATCTCAGTTTGGCTAGCTTCCTCTAACCCTCTTCCCTATCCCCCAGCCTTTCGAAGGCGGAGTTTCGGGAAGTTGCTCGTCGGATGGTTTTTCCCTTCTTCTTCTTGTGGGTCCTAGGGACGTCCCACTCATTGTCACCGCTTTCAATTGAGACGCAGTGACCATCAGGAGTGATTTGTGGATTTGTACCCTGCGGAGGGCGTGATGTCCCGGCGGCGTTAAGCGCACCGGTCAAATTAACGGGAGCCACAGTACTGACCAGCTGGGGTTGAAAAAGTGATTGTTGTGGTACCGGTGTCTGGAATGGCGACACTGCCATTGGAGTTTGAAGGGGCATCGTTCCAGCGCCTGGAAGAGCGAATGGAAACATGCCTGGGAGGAATGGCATCCCCCCGATCTCTTGACACATGGCCATGACCTGGCCAAAGCCCTGAATAGCTTGTAGGTTGGCCGGGTCATTCATGAACTGGGTCATGCTTGGTGGGAATGTGACCCTTGGACCAACAGAAGGGATTGGCACCGTGAATGGCGTCGCCATGCTCGGTGTGGGGACGTGAGTCAATCCCAGCGACATCACAGAGGCAGAATTCGCCGGTGGTGTGACTACTATGGGGTCGCTGACCCCCTCAGTGGTGCCTTGCACCTGAGCAGAAGTAGCGTTGATTTGTTGGCTTGAAGACATTTTGAGTGGTGTTTTGTGGGTAGGTTTGTGTTTAGATGAAAAGAAACCTTAATGGTCCCACGGTTGGCGCCAAAATGATGGTGTAAATTACCTTACCGGGTAAACTATACTAGACCGGGTCTAGAATCGTTTACTTGATTCGGGAAGTAAAAAGTTAAAAACACGCAAAGTGACCGGGAGGACTTTAGGTGGAAACACCTGTAGCCCAATTGATATTATAAATATAGGAGAATGCATGGGAGCTTTTACAAGGGAGTTTAGAGAGAATGAATTCGGATCCCTTTCCTTAAAGGTTACAAGAGTATATATACTAAGTTTGAAAGGGACAGGACGTCGTGCACCCACGTCGAGGCACGTTCTCGGATGGTGGGAGGTGATGGTCTTCGTCCTCTAGCTATTTTGTCACCTTGCGAGGAGGATTGCTCCCTTTGTCCTGTAGCACTTTGGATGGATTGTTCAAGCATCTCCAGCGATCCTCTACAGATCTTGCTCGCAACGGTCCAATCTCCTTTGGATTCTTCTCTGCCGACACTTTCCAACCCTAAAAACTACACCGGGTAGTTTCCGAAGGATAAGTTTAATGTATTTAAGGAATGAACAAGACGATGAAGTAATTTGACCGGTATACTATCCGAATTGTACCGGTCAAAGTTTTGGTCAATCGAGATTCTTTTTCTGACGATTAAGGTCTCCCTTTCGAGTACGATCCACTTGACCGGTCGACTATTTAGTCCTCTCTTTTGATCGGTCCTGGGTGGAATACACCCATCAGATTACAAATAATTTTTTTGAATAACTATTAGAAGTAATTTTGAAACTAATGAAATGAACTTAGTGTGTAGAGTGAAGTTAGTGTTTGGGTCATGTGTAACTATCATCACCCTTTATATAAAGAGAAGACATCAAACTCTAGGACTTATACGTGACATTGTTTACGTGGCAACTATGTGGAAATTGAAAAGGATTAACTTTTGTTTAAAAAATTCTTCAATTCCAATATAACCCTCTTTTCATAAGAAAATTTATAGAGAATTGAACATTAATTTCCTTTTTTAAATTCTTCATATTCAATTATTTTTTCCATTTCATTTCACTCATTTTACTAAAATGAGAATTACCTTTTCAAAAACACATTAATCTAAAATTAGTATTAAAATTTGTTTTCCCCAATTTTAACTAATCTTAAAAATTACACACAAGTTTTGGATATATGAATGTAATTCAATTATACTAAATCAAGAGATCTAAAAAACTATGGATTGTGCTATTTTATCAAATTATTAATGAAAATATATTTTAAAAAATGTTTCTAAAATTTTGAAGTGACACATTTTAATTAATTTTACTTTTGCATTTTGATCTATTTGAGCTTAGAAAGAGGTTTTTAATAAACACTCCCTCTCGTAAATTTTCATCCATTGAGTTGTTTCACTAAAATTATTTTTAATATTTTTGTGCGATGTTGGTGTGGAATTAAAAAATTAAAGTATTATATATTTAAAACTAGATTTTAAGATCTACACATCTAAATTTGACTATTTTATGGAACCTTTTTGTTAGACGTAAATATTACTCACTTCGTATTGAAATAAGGTTCTCATTTGACTTTATAAAGCCAAATTTTTATAAATTTGACTAATAAATTTAAAGCAATATTATTTAACTATTTTATTTTATCAAATGGGCAACAAAAATCGACAAAAAAGGTAAACAAAGTTTAATCCTATTGACAGAGGGAGTAATATTTTGTCATTTTGTGATTGTCAACAAACAAAATTTGTCTATTCCTCACGTTAGTTTCAAATAAAAAATTTATTGTTGAGTTTGACACGATTTTCCAGAAAGAAGAATTAGTTAAACACAAACTGGTTTCCAACCTCGTGGCTCGTCCGGTCCTCTGAGAAACTCTCTCAAAGTTCCTATTAATCTTTAAGCTTCAACAGGTGCTTGAAAACCTTTTACAACTTTAGAACTTGAATCTCACAAACCTCAACACTTACAAACAAGACATGAGTCACACAAGTCTTAGCAACCTCAAACTCAAGGGAAAGTTGAGTTGGGTTTATAACAACACAAGAATGAAAGGCTCACACAATGAGCAAGTAGTGTTTAAAGCTGCAAGCTCTAATGGATGACAAAGTATTTGCACTCAAGAATATATTTCTATACTCTCAAAAATAATAATCTTTTGGAGAAGATGAAGATTGAACAAGAGATAATCAAAGGAGTGTTTGGAGTGCTTCAACTGGTGTTTATAATGAAGGTTAAATGGGGTTTAAATAGATGTAGAAGGAATATGTTCGTTGGAGCAAAAGATAAGACTTTGAAGTAGTGCAACAGACAAAAAATCAATTTTTGCAAAGTAGAGAAAATCGATTAGAAGAGTCTGTGTAACAAAACCTTTTAGGTGGAAAACGATAATCGATTTTCCAACGAGTGAAAAATTGATTTTTGATGCCTGGGACGAAACCCTTCTGCGCATCAATTAAAAATAGATTTTTGAGGTAAGGAAATAATCGATTTTTGTTGCGAATAATGCACAGAGAGCAAGAACACAACCAAGTGCGAGGGGATGAAGTACTTTTGTCAAGTTCTTATTGTTCCCAACAAAGAAACATGTATAATAGGCTCCCCTTCATAACAAACTTATTCAAATTCATTTGAATGTTAAATGATATTTAGGTGTAAAAATGATACCCAATAATATTTTTTGTGTCAAACGATGTACAATTTGTTCTAATGAACAAATTTGCCAAACCAAATAATACATGTCATAAACAACTCAAGGCAATATAAGCAAAAACATTCAATGTCATACATCATATAACAAGTCATTAGACAACATTCAAAGATATAATAGTTAATAACAAGGATCCGAAACAAAACAAAGTCAATCGGACATTGTTGAAGACTTGTCGTGCAGTCCAAAACACATTAAAAATTTATAAAATATCCTTAGCTAACCCCCAATATATAATCCAATAAAAACTATAGCTAGGGCAAGTAAGGGTCGATCCCACGGAGAATGTTTGTACTTTTTAGAACCAATTAGCATGCAAACACGTTCTCACTAAACAAAACAAACTAACTACTATACATATGATAAGACATATAAAACTTATAATAAAACTTATAACTAAATAAATATAAAAACTTATAAATAATACTTATATAAACAAAGAACTTATAATATAACTTATAAACATAAAACACATACTTAGAATATACTAAAACAAAGTATAAAAACTTATATTTATAACTTATAAACAAACACTTATTATATAACTTAGTAAATAAAATCTTATATTATAAACAAAAACAATATACCAAAGGGGGGGTTGAACAAAAAGTAAATTTTTTTTTTGTTTTTATATTTTCTAATTTTTTTGGTTTTTTTTTTTGATAAAATGGGGGAAAACAAGTTCAAAAAGATAATCAACTACTCCAACAAAGGTAACCCAAGAAACACCGCCAAGAACCCGAAACAAAATGAAAAAAGAGAACAAACACGAGTTGAGCATTACACGTATAATAGGCACGTAGACAATATATTGCGTAACTTACGCATTTAAGAATAGAAAAAATCAATCAAAGGCCGAGTTGATTCATTTCCTTAACCACGACATGGAGGAATGTCAACTCTCCACACGGCCCGGAGTCATGTAATTCAAGAATTTCATAGTGAGACAAATCAAGAACCACAACTCGCCATTCAAGCACGAAAATATACTTCCACTATAGAAAAGGTTTATAAAAGAGCGAATTTTTTTCATTCAACTCTCATACATAATCTATTCACAAACCGCCAATACCTTATGCATTTTAATAAACCTTTTCTCCTAATGAAGATCACATTTTACAGATTTCCATAAACTTCTCAAACCAATGACATTATTTCTATTCCCAAATCCTTTATGATAAAAAAGGTTTATTGGCAATATCCTGAGGGAGAATCTGTTAAACTTAACCTTGCTGGAGGACAATTTCCTCATCAAACTGCTGCAGCTGCTGTCCTAAGGAATAACAAAGGGGAATTCCTTTTTGGTTATGCTTCTTCCAGTCCTAAATAAAAGTACATGGTCTATTTGGAAGTTGGAGTCCAAGTTCTAAGTTGGGGACTGGCGCATGGCTTCAGAAGCATTATCATTGAGACTGATGAAGGGGAGGTTCCCTTCCTTCAACTTGGGATTAACCCGGAGCAAGATGACTATTTAAGAAAGTTTCATTTTCTTCTCTCTTGTGTTAAGAGCTCCTTTGAGGTGTGTGAGAAGCAAGTAAACAGACTGCCTCATTTCTTGGTGACATGGAGCTGTAACCAGTCACACTCCTTCCAGTTTTTCTCTGTCTTTGACCTGCCCCTTGAAGCACAAAAGTTACATCAATTTGATCTTAGACAATTTCCCAGTTATGCCTCGACTAGTGCTAAACCTGGTAAGGATGATCCCCTCCATTAGCCCCTTCTCTTGTTTGGTCTGGCCTACTTGGTGGGCTATTCTTTACTCCATTGTTTCCATAACGCTTGCTGTTGACTACATTTGGGACTATCAGGAGGACGTTTTTATTCCTAGTTATGTTCTCTCTCTTTTATGGTGGTATGCTCTTGTGAATTATGGTTATGTTGGTGGTTCTATTTGCTGGCTTTGTATGGAGCGTTATTCTGTGAAGAATCTTTACAGCTATCTAAAAACCATTACGTTTGCCATGACTATGAAGAATTTTATTTATTTTCTTCTAGTCTTGGTGGGTATGGTTTTGTGTAGTTGGGTAGGACCAGCCGTTGGCTTGGCTGTTTTGCTCCGGTGTGAGTGTGGTCCTACCCTTTTGAAGTACCTGATTGTGAGGCTGTGCTCTTTGGCCATTGTGCCTCGTTTGGACTTGTTGTGTTGTTTTGTTGTTAGGACCGTATGTGGCATTGGTCATGCCATAGTATAGTGGTTTTGTTGCTAGTTAGGACCTTCTTGTGGCCTTGGTCAAGCCTTTTTCTAGGTTCCCTTACCCCTTACTTTAGAGGATTGTTCCCCCCGAAAGGTTTGTCTTCCGTATGAGGGGCTGGCTTTAGGCCTCGGTTTGGTCCTCCCCTCCTTTTGTATCCTCATGCTTTCTTAATAATAGCTGGTAAGGGTTGCCTAGACCTTACCCCACCGAGTTTGGTGGTTTGCCCGCTGGGATAAAAAAAATTACTTAATAACGAATTCTAAGAAAAATGAATCACCTTATGGGGCTAAAAAGTCCAAAGTTCTTAAAATCAACAAACACAAACACAACAAAGAATCACGT